AAGAAGTTAAGTTCTCAGGTTCAACGAACACTTTAAGTTGATTACAAAACAGATACGAAAACAAAGCGCACGTCCACAGGAGCCCTAAGAATTTGCGCTACGATGGTTCCTCAGTCATTTTAAAACGTTTGCGGGTCAAAGGGCTTTGGCTAACAACGAAGGAGAAGTACTACTTAATGATCAGACCTCGAACACACTTATTCATAGTTATATGACAGCACCACAACAGAGTGCGCATAAGCTGCATCGAACTGAAAAAAGAACGTCAAGCGGAAAGCCTCAGCAGGTCACTTAATCACACAGCGATGACAGTTTGACAAGCAAAAACGACTATGTCTATCGCGCGTTTCACGGAGTGGCAGGTGTATGGCGTTGACTTGCGTAGCATCTACTGCACTCGCTCTTCCCTAATTCGCCTGGATACGGCGACAAGACAGTGTCAGGGAGGTGGACGCGGGCGCAGAAGCTGTCAAAGCTGAACAGTAGTCCCCTCGCGTGCACACACACGACCTCATCCCCACAGCGTGTAAGGGTGGTTCGGAGCTTGCATCAGTGAGAGTGTCATGTTAAAACGGAATCGTTATGGCCCGACTCCCAGTTGTCCAGTCACTCATGAGAACCTAATTGTCCCATCAGTCGGTGACCTTTCAAGCCAGGACTTGTAGCGCGTTGTGATATATTCCAGCACGTCAGATGAATAATGCGCAGATGTTCCAGGAGTATGGATTCCCCAGTGTCGGTCTCACTCTCTTCTTCCACATTCTAGTGAACTGTCTGAGTCCGTAAGTCAACTCTTTACGGAATCGGGGACACTGGCTTACGAGACCAGACAGCCCGTGTACGCATACCACACACGAGCTGGTCGCCGCTACATCGTCCTGCAACTTGGTCTGATTGGCTATCCCTACTCCTATATAATATTAAAAACAACGTAAGTGGCGCTCAAGGGTTAGGACGAATTGCAGGACAACTTACACAGAAGACCACTTTATCTTCGGTTTAGGCTCCACGCCAACGATCGGATGATGATCCGTGTCAGGGAAATGTAACCGCGAATGATCGGAGAAACTGAAATAACCACTTTTGGCTAACAAGGGCAGATAAACCGCTTCACTACGCTCTGCATTTCGCGTAATACGCGGGGGGAATCAACTGCTGTCTAACATATTGCACTTCGAAATGATCGTGATGACTAAAGGAGCTGGTAGCAGAATA